TGTTAATATTAATGTATGATAATAAAAACTTGATAATATTTTTCTGGATTTTTGCACTTTATTTGTATCATTGTCGCATGAGAAGTAATCTTGTCCTTATTAGAGATATTGAAACTAATCCAGGGCCACAAACTAGTTTATCCAAACAGACACAACACTGACTCTACATATTTGCAGATCTGATTTGTATACTTCCTTGTCATTTTACCTGTTGTACTGGTTTGGTGCTATCTGGTTTCCTTGCTGAGAATAATGCTGACCTGGATGGAGAGTGCTATAAACTTGAAAATGCCATAGAAATCACGTTTGCCAATTTATGTCCATGCAACTTTAGAATGACAACTAGCGAAGGCAGTGTCATTCATGACTTGTTCAGATTTAGTACAATGTGTTGTACATATGCAGGTGCATTTCGGTCATGATCTGCTTTGAATGTATTTGTCACTCAAATATGAACAGAACGGGGACGTGTCATTGACAATGACTTGTTGATTTACAAATTACTAATTACTAAAACTAGAGTGTTGGACAGCTTGCACGTGATTCTCACTAAAGTCAGATATTGTTTTTGAAAAAGATAATGTTTTGTAAATCAATGGTATTATTTTGTTTATGATTTGATTGTATCCATGTCAGGTGCTGTCTCTTAAAACTACCTACCAAGCTAGGAATGCCCCTCTCCAACTCAGTAATATGAGTGACTGGGAGAGATATTAAAATCTGGTCTGAGATTGATAATTAGTCGTTGTAGGTCTTTATTTCTGTGAGTGATAAGCGAGTTGAGTGAGTGCTCTTCTCAGATGACATGCCTATCATGTGACTCTAGAAGCAAGTTGATTTTATTAACCTCTACGGCTTTGTCATCTCTGTATATCCAAATCAAACAACTTTGTGATGAACATTTGTTGCTTAAAGACCCAAACAATGCTACGTCAGACATGTTAGAATATTACTTTTCAAAGGACTACTGAAAAGGTGTTGAAAACTATAGTTTTTTACTGTCAAAAATACTCACGATGACTACAATACTGCATTAGACTTAAAGGTCTCCATTTATGTCCTTAGCATATAGTAACATTGTTTTCTACAGCGCTTCATCATGTTTTTTTTTTTGTGTTTGAAAGAGTCGTGTTTCACCTTTCCTCATCAAACCATTAACTGGGTAATGTAATCTTACAATTTTTTCAAAAACAAGGTCGGTGACCTCTTTCTTTTCGTCATTGCTGCTATAGATAAGAGAATAATTTTCTAGTGAAAAATTTTCTCTTTTTTTTACTTTATTGATTATCTTTAACAAAAGCTTAGTTCAACTGACAAACAAGCATATGTTCATTTTTAGTTATATTATAGTTTTTAGTTCCCGTTCGGACTTATGTTTTGCCCTGTGTGCGTCCGTGATCACCTGTATCTCGAACATGCATGGACCGATTAAGTTCAAACTTCACTCATACATCTCACATTATATGGGACATATGCACATGCATTTTTTTCATGATCCGATTAACGATAGCCGAATAGCGGCCATTTTAAGGCCGAAAATGCATCAAAATCGCACATTTTCACCATTCCGGACCCGGATCTCAGTTATGCATGGACGGATTTTGTTCAAATTTGGTACATACATTAAACATAATAGGACCTTGATGCACGTCATTTTTTTTTTTGGATCGGGTTCAAAATGGCCGACTGGCGGCCATTTTGTTTTAAAGAATTCAGTTCTGGATCCGTATCTGAGACATGCTTGGATTGATCAAGTTCAAACTTCACACACACAAGGTACATCATGTCACAAATATGTATGTGCATTTGTTTCATGATCTCATTAACGATAGCCAAATGGCGGCCGCTTTAAGGCCGAAAATGCATTGAAATCGCACATTTTCACCATTCCGGACCCGGATCTCAGTTATGCATGGACGGATTTCATTCAAATTTGGTACATACATTAAACATAATAGGACCTTGATGCACGTCATTTTTTTT